TCAAAATTATTGAGCACCCAAAAATGAAATGGCCGAAGGCAAACCGTGAAAGAACATGTGAATACTCACGCAACCTGCAACTGCCTCGCTGTGATTCTTTATATTCTTTCAACTGGCATACAGAATTCGTACAAGTTATTTGGAGTCCTCAGTGTCAATGTTTGCTGACAGTGGTTTTCACCGTTCGTTCACCGTGCCCCAAAAATGATTTCAAAATTTGTTCATATTGTTTTCACGATGTCGCCCCACCAGTGCCAACCGAAATCTTAACCTGTTCTGTCCGTGCATAATCTGATAATCTTATTTGTTCTTGAAGGCGATAGAAATTGAATGGGGTGGCATGGCGTTTCAACCAAAAGAATTACATGTTGGGCGCCGAACCAATTCTGTAGATTCAATCAAATTCGTGGTTCACCTGTGCTCAATTGTTGGCCGGTGGCTTGTGATGATTATTTGGCAATGGTTTTTGGCTTCATGAGTCATGTGTCCAAAATCGGACGGCAAACATCCCTGGTACGGACTCACATGCACTATCCAGGCCCCTTTCATGTTTTCATTCCCAGCAATGCCAGCAGTTTCACCATGTTTCATCCATGGATATTCCCACATAGCCCCACCCGTGCAGCCAAGAGGCTTTTCCCATCAGCAGGTTCACAATTTATGTCTTGTTCTCCCGTCTCGCGAGATCCAAGGGCGTTTCGCCTGGGATCCACAGCTGACATTCGAACTGACCCTGTCCAATTGGAAAGGGTCAGTTCGAATGTCAGCTGTGGATCCCAGGCGAAACGCCCTTGGATCTCGCGAGACGGGAGAACAAGACAGAAATGCAATATCACTTCAATTGATCGCCGTACGGACTGCAGAATTTGACGTGTGGAAACAATGTGCGGAAAGCGCTGTTTCATTCTTCTCATTGGATCACATGTCAAAGACATGGATGAACTCGAAACCCTAATGTTTCAACAGACATGCCCCAAAATCACGGCTCTTAAATTTCAACGGAACTTTGAAGACGGGAACCTGAGATTATAAATCCAGTGAAATCCCATGTCCATTAAAGTTGAAAAAACCTGAATTTTCATAAGTCATTGAGACATGCCACATTCATTGAACTGTAATTATTATTGTGACTGCCGGTGAAGAACTGTGTTCAAAATGGGTGTGATGTCGGCTGTGGCCCCCAGCCAATGTTGCTTCGGCGATGTCGTCCTCTCGGCGCGCGGAGACATGAAGCAATGAAGTTCCTCAGTTCCTTAGATGTCCAAGTCTGCTACTTATTGAAACTCTATTGAACTTAGAGGTTAGAAACTGAAATTATTAAACTTTTAAGTTCCTGATGTTCATGTTATAGAACTTGAAGTGCAACTTCATTTGTTTCCAAATCTTCTACCTGAGGTAGCATCAAGTTCTATCTATAGTCAGTATACCGGCTGAGCTCCAGATGTTTCGCGGCCGCGGCTTCGTCTGCCAAAGTGCCGAACTCTGTTTCAAAGAGCTCCATTCTCATCCACGCGGATGCCACCTCCACCTGTCGGCCGGTCTGTTTCTTCAGGTCATCCGCGACGGCCTTTTTCAGAGCCGGAATAGCAGCGTTTTCTTCATCACAATTGGGGCCGCCTTCAATGCAAAGAATTCGAACCAAAGAGCACTCTGAGTGCAATGTGGCATCCAATACACTCTGGCAAACCGTCGCTCCGCTGTTGAGCGCGTAAATGAAATCGCCCTGCTTGCCAAAAGCCTTGGACATTCCAGACCCCTTGCAAATGTCCAATACTCGGTCGTGGTGAGCTTCTGGGCAGGAGGCTACAATTCGAACTTCGGCCTCATGTCGGGAAGCCGGACAACCGACGCCACGACCCTGAAGACAAAGCGCACAAAAGTGTGTCCGTACGCTGTATCACATCATATAGTTTGTATGTTTGATGTGTGACGGACATGTGTATGCATAAGTATGTGCAACATGTGTGAGACATTGAACCTGGGCCACACCCAACATGTATCTATACGTATAGATATAGGTTAAAATAAAAACGGAAATCAAAAACCAAAGCCCTGACCTGCGGCATCTGCTAGTCCACCCGGATGGGATCCCCTGCGGAGGACGGTGCAGTCTGTTTGAATAGAACAACCTGGCCTGAAAACATCTTACAGACCCAGCCTGCACAGATCCAGCAGTTGCAGCGCAATTTGCTTCTCTGAGAGCCAACAGCTCTGCTGCGCATGGTTTGGAAACACTTATATAATATGTTTCCCTCAAAACAATTCCTCTGTCCTGCCCAATGGACAACAAAAAAAAAGTTGAAAACACAGGGGCACAGTTCAATCGTCGTGTTCAAACACAGAAAACGCCTTGCGGTCAAACAATCCACATAATTTTCGAACTTTGATGTCACAAAGCAAGAGCAAAACGCAAGTTAGTACGAATAAAACAAATAAAGAATACAAGCAAGCAAAATGCAGGGTTCTGCACAGCTTGGAGAACATTAATTGTGGAGCAGTGTGGTGCGTGACTATGGAAAGGCAAAACGGGTTCACAATTTCTCCAGTCAGGGTCGGTGTGCATCTGTTAAAAACCGTGATGCAAATGGACAGATTTAACATATACTTCAGCTGGCACCTGAAGGTTGAGCACGTCGATTTCAATTTCAATGGTCTAGAACAAAGTAAAATTGACATACCTTGAAGAACATTGTGGGAGCAGTGCGCGACCACGTAAAGGAAAACCCGCATTTGCGGGATTTTCTCCTCGAGCAACCGCGTGTCCCTCTGGCTTTGCAGAGATGACACTCTTCGGCGACTGCTGAACCATACTTTCAACTGCTATTGGCGGGTACGTCGACTTCAATGTGAAGGCAACCGTGCCAGGTCTGGATTCCACCTGGGCTCCCCATGCCAATCAAGGTCACACAGGCTCCGCATAGAGCCAGGAACAAAAGAATGGTTGCAGAAACCACGGCAACTCCTCGCCATCGGAACAATGATAATTTGGCTTCAAATTTTGAACGCTCCTCTTCCGGCACCGATGCCCCATTGGAAAATTCTTCAATGTGGATCCTGAGGTTGGATCATGTTTTTATTTTTATGTTCATGTGGTTTCCAAGTTCTTGTCATGTTGACATCTTGTGCCTTTTTTAAAAATGAAGTTGCGATATTTTGTAGGGGGTCTCTCTCTCTCTCTATCTCTCTATCTGGTCCAGCGCACTTCTGCATGGATATGGTGGTTCTGCTGTTTGGTTAGGTCATGTCGGGTTTCAACCATTTCAGTTATTTATGTAATCATGAGTCTAATCATAAGCGCATACATTTATATCATTTATAATATGTTGTATAATAATATGTCAGGAATAATAATGCAATCAAAGATGCATTGACACTTCCATCAGGCCCAAGCTTGAATCACAATGAGATTGATGGAAGCCGGAGTCCCATGTGCCATTGACAGAAGTCTAACTTTTGGTGAGAAATATCGGACACATAATGTTTTTTGGGTGTGGGAAGTTATATTTTTTTTTATTTAATCCCTTCCCCCCAATATTTAACCTTGGTTAGTAGTGAATTTACTCATATCTGGGCCCATTTAGGGGGTTTTATATTATGGTAATCGGATTATTCGGATTATCTCGGATTACAAAACTATGTAGACCCACAACCACACCAAATTGGTCCAAATTTGTTGGTTGTTTGCAACATTGAGTCGTCCATTTTCTACCATGCTCTTTCTGGGATCATTTGGGCAATTTGCGTTAGAATTCGGGAATGGTCACATGAACGATGGAAAACCGGATTTCCTGCACATTGCTTCTATCACCATCCCTCGGCTACCCTCTGGTAAACTAACATAGCTATTGAAAATGGCCCATTTATAGTGGATTTACTGATTTACCCATTAAAAATTGTGATTTTCAATAGCTTTCGTTAAATTACCAGAGTGTCGATGCCCCTGGAGAGGCTGCTTCATCTACTTTTCCATTTGCAATGTGGAAAAGCCCACTAATTTACCAAACTCACCCTTCAAGATCGCCCACGATCGCCTTTTGCGGAAGCCAAACAGAACAGTTTCGGTGCCTGCAGAGTGAAACATCCCAATGAACATGGCAGTTGACCATGGGCACGGATGGACGGATGCATCAAAACAGATTCCGTTCTATTATATGCATACTTTACATAACTGGTTGGTGGTTTTAACCATCTTGAAAAATATGAACGTCAATGGGAAGGATGACATCCCATATATCATGGAACATAAAAAATGTTTGAAACCACCAACCAGATAGTGGTGCTTCAATTCAGCAATTGCACTCAAATTTGGGGCACAAGGCCATTATCAGCCCAGTTTCCGTCACCAGCCATGCCTACAACGGCCTTTGCGTGTCCCAATGCGGCATTCTCACCTTTCCCTCCTGCCGTCGCAGCCGCTGTCCGTTCCCCCGCCGTTTCCGTGCCAATTTCAGCAGCGGCACGCCGGACACGGCGGAGGGCGCGCCAGCGCAGTGGCCGCAGGGGCTGTCAGAGAAGGAGATGCTGCTGCTGGAGAGATCCTGAGAGAAACACGTGGATTACCAACAAAAATTAGATCAGCATGCGGTGTTTTAATGTTACCCTCTGGTTATTTAACATAGCCATGGTATAGATGGCCCATAGAAATAGATGGTTTACCTATTAAAAATGGTGATTTTCCATGGCGAACTGTTAAATAACCAGATGTTAGACTATGGGAAAATCATGGAAAATCGTCAATGAAGCCATGAAGCACTTGAAAAACTTGGAAGAAAAAATTGATCCACGCAAATCAGCTGATTTTGCTCAAAGATGGGAAGTGAACCTACCAACAAATGGAGGAATTCAACCAGCAACGGTTGAATCTTTTTGAAAGGAGCCTTGCAAACAGAAAATCTAAAGGTTTGCATGTAAATCACCAAAATTTGCTTTGGATAAGGATGCTGCTGTTGAGCGGCGAGAGGTAAATGAATGCAAACCTGCTGCCAAGTTCAAATCCGAGTATCACCCGGGAAGAAAAATCACGCACAACTGTCAAGATTCAACAAGAGAATGATGACTGAAACCAACTTAAATGGAGATAAGACAGCCAAATAGAACAGCGATGAATGTAAAATAACATAAAATAACCATTTACCCACACACATACACATGTTCATGCAACTGGGTAATTGAAGGCAGAGATTGCCATCAGCGCCATACAATTGGAAACTCTTGCAGCCATGTTTTCCAGCTTTGGAAAGGGCAACGCCTAAAAAATGCAAAGAATCGGACACGTTATATTGTGCTTCCCTGGCAGTTTTTTTACAGCATATTTTGGGCACTCGTTTTAGAAACAGTAACAGCATTACACTTGCAGACCGTTGTTGGTTACACAGCCTATCCCCATTATCTCTCCATTGACGAACTTCTCTGCCGCCGGGCAGTCAAGTCCCTGTGCCACACTTACCAAACGTCCAAGGAGCATACTGCACCACATAGTCGTAAAACACCGCACTTCCCAGAATCCAAATGGGCCCGTTCTGCGCTGTGACGTACTCATACTCGCCGAAGAAGGGCAAACAGGCCACTTGCCTTGAGTGGAAATCGGACAAAAGTTGGTGCCCCAGTTTCTAATGAAAGCCCTTTATAGCCCTTTACCAATTATAAATGGATATAAATCGGACTATACATATCTATACATTCCATAAATTGGGTTATACCATGTTATACCTGACTTGTAACTGGCATTTTGGGTAATGCCATTCAGACCTTATCAGCCGAGGTCTGTGGCACCTTTTTAGCGGCTAATCCGACATGGCTGAAATGAGAATTTCCTGGGGAACAAAGTCCAATTTCAAATTCTAATGTCCAAGATATAGGTTTTTTTCCCATGTAAAAACATCCTATAAATGGTTTACCGGATTATCCGGATTGTATTTCACGCTGCCAAGCAGTTATGAAGAGTGTCGTAACCGCTGTTTGGGGCTTCTTACAGTCTGGGATGTCTGGGGGGTCACCGGAATGGCCGAGATACTGCGCTTTTCAGGTTGTCCAGTAGGAAAGCGGTGCTATGATTCAAAGTAAGGACAGCACAATACCTATCAATAAATGAGAGTACAAAAGTAGCAGATAAGGATATGAATTCATTTTCTCCCCTTTTCGGGGATATTGCAAAGCTCTTCCCCTGCTATACTTTTATCCTCTGCTCCTGCAACATGACGATCTCCCAGAGTTGCTTAAAGATATTCCCACAGTTGCTTAAAGATATCAATCAGTTAATATCATCCACAATTATTACGTTGGTATATTATACTCGTGTGTTTCTAGCAAACTTTCCAGCATACAAAGTCATTTCTGCCCTGTAAACAGCATACCCTGCATGATCATTACCCATACACCATGTCATACCAGTGTCGCACTTACATAACCCCGGGGGCATTGTGCACAAAAAGGTTTCGAAGAGGAACGCGCAGTTGAGAAATCAGTGACGTTGAGACCCATGCGTACGATTGACCAAAATACACTTTGGTAATCAAAGGTGGCAATGGAAAACCATCTCCCGATTTTTTTTGCGACCATTTCTAGGGAATTTCCAGTTGCCATGTTTGATTACCAGATGGTAGCCTAGGAACATGTTTCCAATTCCCGAGATGAAACAACTCACCTTTTTTGGGGGAGGATTCCTCCAACAGAATCGACACGCATCATCGCCACGGTACCCATAGTCATCCAAGAGGAGAAATATGGACAATGTCTGATGACATTTCTGAAGATCTGCACTTGAATTTTAAAATGACTGGGGATATGTTGCTTCTGGGGAGTGTTTAATATGAACGGCGGGAGGCAAGTATTTCACCATTATAATCAATCATTATATGTCCATTGGAATCTCATGATATTCCTATGACATATACCTATCATATTCCATAATATTCCCGTGGTATTCCTGTTCTATTCCCCTGATATTCCTTGTTTTAAGACTAGCCGACTAGCCATTCACACCTCATCTTTTCCAGGTCCAAGTGGCTCTGCATAGCCCATGGCCACGACGTAGGAGCTCGGTGGCATCTCCAAGATCTGTTTCTCACCCTCCGCTCCCGCCAGGTGCCAATAAATCCTGAGATCGGCCGCGCAACTTGGAAGTTGGTATGGGGAAAAAACCTCCATTTGTAGCCTTAAAAATGATGCTTTATGCCTACTTCCATAATCTTAGTACTTTTGTATTTGTTCAAATGTATTTGGAGATATTTGGAGGGTCTAGGTATAAAGCCACCATTTGTAGATCCCTTTCTCTTGGGAAAGCTATGACTAATCCATAGAGGGTTTTCACATGTGCTGCACATCTCCGAAGTTTGTTTGTCTTTGAAATGAGCAGAACATCCATAGAGGCCCCAGAACATGGAGAAGGAACATATGTCTAAAATAACAAGTTGACATATAAGTATATAAGTTCAAATATAGTATAGGATCTAACATTGTGTACTGTAGGTAATCATATATGCTACAATATGTGCGGCCCCAGAGATAGGTTCAAACATATAAAAGTATAGGATCATAATTATGGTGGATATAAGGATGATGATATATCATATACATTCCCGCAGGTACTACCAAGGGACCCCAGGTTTTTCAGTTTAGACCTTTTTTGATGGGTCTAAAATGAACTTGCCAGGGGGTAAACGTAAGAAATCGTTAAGTGTTCAGACCCTACCCTAGGGTTCTGGATCCAAGCCTCGGCAGGTGTTTCCAGTAGCATGTTAGCTGGCTAGGAACACTTTAGACCCTCAACGGCTAAGAACAGTTTAGACCTCTGGTCCCTGGTCCCCCCAAGTCCCCCCTCAGATTAAACCTTTGTTTTTTCCTCAGTAGGGACGTCTACTCTACTTTGGGCTATCGCTTGATGGCATTATACTTTCTTCTTACTGCTGCATTTTGAAGACAAACGCAAACTCAAAGCTTCTGCGTCTTTGGGGTTGTAGGGCCCGTGTCATTTGTGGTTGGCCATGCGACGTTTCCAATCATTTCTAGCATGCCTCATTTTAATCACCCATCCATTGGAAGCAGCCAAGGAGGCCTGGGAATCATGTCAAAAGATTCATTTTTCTGTGAAACATATGTTGTTTCATAAGATTGTATTTAAGCAGAGTCTTTCGTGAACGGCTGGGTAGGGTCTGATGGGTCTATGTTGATATTGCGTAGGTGTTTTGTGGGGAAAGGATGAAATAAGGGATAGGGAAATTCATTCTAGACCCAGTGAATTCCATCAGGTAAATATGTTGTCCTTTCTCTGGGGTCCAACAGATTCATTCAGTTCCATGTATATAGTTTCTGAAAACATTTGAGGATATGTATGGATATCTTAAGATATATCATGATATATCCTTCTATCGGTTTCATGTTAAAAATTCCCTCAACTCTGATGGGTCTATGTTGATTTTGCGTAGGTGTTTTCCTGGGAAAGGATACAATAAGGGCTAGGGAAATCCATTTTAGACGCAGTGAATTCCATCAGGTAAGTGAAAAAAGCTGTGATGACGTGGATTAAAGTAGAGTAGACGTCCCTGCTGCATGTTTGGGCATGTCGCAGCTAGAACAAGGTATTTGACTCATTTGACCCTTCCGACTTCACTCTGACTGAAGCTTTGGAGATTTGGCTGAAAATCTCCCTGTCCTTCACTGCGAAGGTCTAACATGATCCCATCCAGAGGGTGCGAAGGTCTAACATGATCCCAAAAGGCAAAGGTCTAACATGGTGTTACCAGTCCTTACTTATATATAGTCAAAAGGTCTTAAGTGATCCCGGGCCCAAGGTCTAAAGTGAAAAAATGACCATTCTAGACCTTTAAAATTATGATCCCTAGGCAAACCATTCTAGACCCTCTTGTACCTGAGCGTATTCATATACTATAGTTACATGGGGTTATAAACCAAGTGAAAACTCGGGGTGCCATTTCGTAGTGAAAGTTCATAATCTCCTCATATCGATGTATTTTATCTTACAGGGGTTCCGATAGATTCATTAAATTCTGTAGATATTGATAGATCATGCTGGGATGTTTGCCGGCTCATGATGCTGGAAATCGCATCGAAGCCTTGTGCTTCAAGCTAGCAAAGCAGCTACAGACCTAAACATTCCTCAGCTGATCGTGCACTGAAGAGCTGTCACCACCGTATTCTGCCTCGCCCCATGTCACAATGGCGCAATCTTCCAGGATCGCAGCAAATGCTTTATCTGTTGCTTGAACCTGCTGCACATTCCTGAGCTGATCCTGGACTGCGGAGCAGTCGCCACCGAATTTCGGATCGCCCCATGAGACAATGGAGCCGTCTTCAAGGATGGCGGCAAATGCCCTATCTGTGGCCTGAATGTGTTGCACATTCCTCAGCCGACCTTGGACTGCGGAGCTGTCACCACCAAATTTTGGGGCGCCCCACGTGACGACTGAGCCATCTTCCAGGATTGCAGCAAAGGCAGCACATGTGGCCTGAATCTTCTGTGCACTCCCCAGCTTATCTTGGACAGCAGAGCTGTCGCCACCTGAACTTGGATCGCCCCATGTAACGATGGAGCCATCTTTCAGTATTGCAGAAAATGCAGATCGTGTGGCCTGAATCTGCTGAACGCTCCTCAGCTGATGTTGAACAGCAACGCTATCACCACCATAATACAAATGGCCCCATGTCACCACTGAGCCATCTTGCAGGATCGCGGCAAATGCACTGCTTGTGGCCTGAATCTGCTTCACACTCCTCATTCGATCTTGGACGGAAGAGCTGTCACCACCAGAACTTGGCAGGCCCCATGTAGTGACGAAGCCATCTTCTAGGATTGCAGAAAATGCACCTGCTGAGGCCTGAATCTGCTTCACACTCCTCAGCTGATGTTGTACAGCAGAGCTATCTCCACCGAGACCTGGATAGCCCCACGAAATCACAGCACCATCGCCCAGGATCGCAGCGAAAGCAAAATTCTTCGCCTGAATTTGCTGCACACTCTCTTTCAGCTGATCCTGTACTGCGGAGCTGTCTCCACCAAAATCTGGGTTGCCCCATGTAACAACCGAGCCATTTGCCACGATTGCGGCAAACGCCTTGCTGGTGGCCTGAACCTCTTGCACGCTCCTGAGCTGATCCTGGACTGCAGAGCTGTCGCCACCAAAGTCTGGATGGCCCCATGACACCACAGAGCCATCTCCCAGAATCGCAGCAAATGCACGAGTTGTGCTGCTCACCCGTCGCACGCTCCTCAGCTGATCCTGGACCGCAGAGCTGTCGCCACCAAATTTCGGATTGCCCCAAGTGACAACTTCGTCCCCTCCAGGGCTCCAAAGTGCAAAGGCACCTTCAGTTGCTGCCAGCCTTGCTGGTCCCACAATGGCCGTCAAGTGGTCTCCATCTTGAAGCCCAGCAGCCTGAAGCTGCAGAGGATCAATCAGATTGTACCCCTCTTCTGTAACAAGCCTCAGGAAGCGTTTTCTGAAGAACTTCTGGGCCAAGATCTTCAAGTCCCCGACTTTGGAGGACGGTGGAACTGAAAAGTTCTCGCTGTGACCATTGGCCAAAGCAACTGTTATCTGAAACATGCCTCGGAAAAGCTAAATACCTTGAGCCTATCCTCAGAACAAATATGACCACGTAGCTGATTGGCTGAAGTAAACCAACATGGCAGTAGGAAATCTCCTTTTGGATCGGAAAGTCACCTATGAGTCGGTGTTTTCCATTGCGAGGTTGAATGAGCTTGGATTGCAAGAGGTATGTAGAAAACCCAATTGTCTTGCATTAGTTTCAACTTATGCCGTCATCCTCCCTGCTCATGACATGCCCCAATAAAAAGGGTGTTTGCAGGGTGTTTAGAAATAAAGGTACATGCAGTAAACTTAACATCCAATAGTTGTTTCTTTCAAATGGGCATCATTATTTCCAAGTCATGCTTCAAAAAGAATTCGCCTCAAAAGGGAATCCATTCACCTTCTGCCATGTACGGTGGATTGCCACATATATTTTCCTATATTTTCCTACACTATTCCCAGCTATAGACCAGTTCATAGGGGATTTCCCAGCCATTTCCAAGGACATCAAGGACTCCACGAAGCCAAGCTTCGTTGGCAGCTCCTTATCCAACGCTGCCGTGTCGCTCGCACCCCACGACTGGCAGCTCTTGAGCAGACCTTCGAAGTGACGGCGCTTGTCCAACTTCACCTGTGCCCCGCTGTGTCATCCCAAACCATGAGGTACAAATGGCCGGTTCACCAGGAGAAATGCTGGTTTTACGTTTACAGAAGTTTATGGACTAGTTAGCTAAGGTGATCCACGCCATAGCGTTGAAAAACATCAGGTTCCTATGTAGAAGGAACCAAAAATGAGCTTCCTAATCCCCGAGTTTTTCGGACACAGCCTTTCTCTGTGCCGATCTTACTCTTTACATGCCCTGCAACAAAAACTAGCCGTTAGCTACATGCCACCACTCTTGGCTGGTTAGCACTTCAGTGTTTTTCTTTTTTTGCAAGTCAAGCACTCAGCCATGGTTTATCCAATTTTCCGGCACACCTGTGTCTTGGGGTCTGGGGCAAAGGGCGAGCTAATGGTTGGTAGGCCCCATTTACTCAGCGCATGCTTGAGCCAATCTCCCAGCGCACCACCTGCCATGGCACTCAGGGAATAGCATCCCAAATGGTAATTGAACCAACAGAAATGGGGTGTTTATGGGATTTTAACCAACCATAATTTTGCAAAAACTGCCATGATTTAACGAGAAATTACGATGATTTTAAGCAGCTCAGTGCCCAATATCAACGCCTAAAGTGAACTCATCCTTCTGCGTTCGGTTGAACTCCGCATAGGCTTTCTGACAGCGCGGCCACATGTCGCACAAAGAACTGAAGAGCTCCAAGATCTGCTGGGAGGGGCCCAGCATCAAAGTGGTGCCCGAGTCCTTGGTCAAGCCAAGGTGAGGCCAAGCGATAGCGAAGTTGCTGTGGAACTAGGTGAATTCTATGGTTTATGATGGTTTAGGGTAAATATATGGTAAATAAATCTATTGGGTTTATAAACTAACTTCTAACTGCAAGCATCACCTTGTAGCTTGTAGCTAGCATACCAACACATCTATATTGGTTTACCGGGTAAATATGCGATGATCTAATCTGCTGGTTCCCACTGCAAATAACATAAGTAACGTGTCAAGAGTATTCTTGGGCACATTTCATGTAACTTAAAACGTGCAATTGTTTCAGCATGTCATCTAAGTCTGTGGCTATGGACCATCCACATCTACTGGGATGATGAATGCCACAGCCCAAGCATCCGGAATGATGCCACATCTGCTGCTGGCAGTCTGGCCATCACAGAATAACACCTCCTGGGTCTCTTGACCAATAGAAATGCCGTTGAAGTTCAGACCCCAATGGTACCTGGGAATCCGGATCAGCTGGGTCACAATGGTGTACTCAGGGGTGCTCAAGCTTAGGCATGGCCAACCAAAACGGACCATTCACCAAGTTCAGTTGGGGGGTTCGGGGCAATCAAGTCACTATGGTTGATTCAATTCAAAAAAATGGCCATCCATGACTTGGATGATTTGGGGTAGCTCACTTAGGAAACCTCAATGGAAAATCCCCGTTTCTTCATAATTTTTGGTTGGTGAAGTCACCGAAAAAAGTTCTGTTTATTGCCCAGTCATCACCAACCCTCACCGCCCAGTCATCTTCTCAGCTACTTCCCAACGCTCTTCATCTTGGACTCCTAGCGGCTCTGCCGGCTGGCCATGAAACTGGCAACCAAAATGGAGACGTCACCAGCCGAAATGGGAGGTAGCCTACTATGATGGAAAACTTAGATGTATAGACTATATAGATCTGGGTAAATTATAATAATTCACTAACCTGAATTAAGGATGATTTCCCTTACTAACCATGATTCCAGTGAGGTCGCAGTGAGGTCGTTGTAATTTACCCAGATAGATGTGGAAAACTCATGGTTTCCCGTTCGGAACATATATGGTACATTCATTGGTGGATTTTCTGGCGTTCCTGCTGCAGGGTGCCAGCTTGGAGATGCCATCCTCATCCAAGATCCATTTCGAATAGATCCAGTACATTTCACCCAGAACCAGCTGGCAAACTTAGTACCCAGGCTTGCTATCAAACATGGCTTGCTGGACAATCCACCATTTACTTCGATGATGTTAGCGAACGAAACCTCCATGATATCATTGATAATGGGATTTTCCAGCCACTGGGCATTTGAAACGCTTCACCATGGCCTTTCACATCAATATCACATCAATTCTGAAATCGCTGACATGGGTTTTACACCATGTTCATCCATGTTCCTAGACAATCCAGAATATCATCAATCATCACAAGCCTATGTGATCATCCATGATGGGATAGATCGCTTTCGCGATCGAAAGCAAGATCAATGGCACAGATTGGCAAATGGACAAAAACAAACAAGTGAAAAAACAAACAAAAATCTATAGTCACTTTAGATAGATTAGAGATATCAAAAACATGTTGGGGCCACTGGTAGCCATGCCAACCCTCACTCCCACCTTTTTTCTCTTGCTGTCCTTGGCTTCGCCGTAGTTCAAACGCAGCACCCCATCTTCTTCAAAACCAGTGAAGCACATGGAAAATCGATCAATGGCAGCCTAGCAAGCCGCCGAGATGGGGGATGAAATCAGATAAAAGTGTGTGGAACATGCTGTAAATAGATGAAATAGATTATAATTACTGTAGGGTCGATGCTAAATATAACTATACTACTAGTTCGTTGTAATTTGGTTTAGAAACCAACTTACAACTGGGGCCAGTTACGCCGCCTTGTACCTAGTGGAGCCAATGTTAGATTAATGGACCTGAATGCCATCTACTTTGCATTGATAGTTTTTCTTTGAGAGAAAACTGTTCGGATATCACCCGCGGAATATATTTCTGACTCTATATATGCATACACCATCTGGTGGATTTTCTAGAGACCCGCAACTATGGTTCGCAATCGCTCCCTGATCCCACGTCTCATCTCCAAAACTGCCAACACAACGGCTATTCCAGGTTGATATGCTGAACGCATCATTGAACATATTAGACACACAGAAAGCATGTCAACAACTAAGTGCGATTAAAAGAAGGGTTAGTGTATACCACCATTAATTGCACACAATTGAAGAATTCAAATGCCCTTCACCACTTTCGTAGCTCCAATATCCCATATCGTTTGACTGATTAATGCAGCACGGTTCCTGGATGTTACTTAATCGGTATCCCGCTAACTGTTGGATATCCTAGTCCCCAATAGATTGGACATTATTCTAGCAATTTCTTGCCCATATTCCAGGGCCGAACATATTCCATGCCAAAATAGCTGGGAAATTTCAGGAAATTGCGAAGACCCCTTTCAGGTGAAATTTGTATTTCATACAGTTTGCCAAGTACTCTTTCTCTTCTGGCACGTACGTTGTCGACTGCACATGTTCTTCCCCAAAGAAGATCCTTACTTTCAACAATTTCTGGAAATGTCATAATTAATAATGTTGAGCTTTCCAAAAATGAATTAATAATGTTCTTATGGGAATTTGTCATCTACACTTTTCAGGATCTCAAAACCCAATTCATAAGCTTTAAGCTTATGTTCTGGCACGCTTGGCTGGCCTTTCATCAGCAGCGCCATCCCCATCTTTCTTGACATCTTTGTGACCCCGCAAAGAGCTCTGCACAACAGGATCTGGGAACACAAATCATCGACGATCCTGTTTTCTTCCGTGCAAAATAATTCCACCGATAGAGTACGATGCCACCCCTGGAGTGCGCTAATTTTCTGGAATGCGAAAATAAAACAGTATGCGTGGCCCCCTTCGACCTTCCCCATGGATCCAACACCAGTTTTTTCCATCATATACGAGAAAATTATCACATTTCACCCTGCTGAGTTTTTTTTTCGTTTTTTTTAAAGTTATTTTTGGTCATTTTTGGCCAAAATGGCCTGGAACGCGATAGTATGTGAAACTACAGACGTCTCACGCGAAACCGCTACCTTGCCCATATTCCAGAAAACATGATTCCAGGCGATTTTAGCAAAAAAAAACGAAAAAAAACATAAAAAAAGAGAAAATCAACGAGTACGTTTATGGAGTGCGAAGATCTTGCAGAGCGCGTTGATTTTACAGTATGTGTACGTCCCTAGCTGTGGAGTGCGATGCCCTCGCTGGAGTGCGAAGAATTCCGAGTATGCATGGCTGGTATATAGACCACATAGGGAAATTTCGGGGCCAGAACCAAAATTCCAATCCCAAAGCCAGCCCAAACTTCCAGGGGCACACCAGTGGGTTCTATTTTTCCGAGTTCACCTTGGGTGAGGTCCCGGGGAAGAAACTTGCTAATTTTTACTCAGCCAACCTTTAAAAACGTTACCTTTGACAACCCTGTCCTTCTTCGGGAGACAAATGAGGAAACTTCCTTATCAAAGCAGCCTTCGATTCATTCAACGTCCACAGCTGCTTTGGAACGACATAGGGGATAGAAAGCTGTGGAGGGGCATTCAGTGGATTCGCCGTGGGCCAACTGTTCCCTCCAGATTGAGCTGAAATGCCTATCAAAGTAACATACCAAAACCCAGGTCTGGAGTACGATGAAAACATGGTATGCGAAGATTTTCTGAATATGGGAATGTTGCCTCTAGAATTATATTCCCCTCCAATAGTTCATCGAACTATAATATTCTTCAATTACTCCCATATCTTTCATAACCCTGACAAAACCTCTAAAACTGATGGTTACCCCCCTTTCAAACCCATCAACCATGGCATTTTTCATACTTTCCACGGCTCGGCCAGGCCGCTGTGGTGAGCCACGAGGACTTCTCGAAGCCGACGTCGTCGTATGGCAGGCCTAAACCGAAGATGCCCTCGAAATCAGTGATGCTGGCGTCCAGCTCGTGGTCGTACATCAGCACCTCAAAAGCCGTTTCTCCACCGTGGTTGTTGGTCAAAAGAGGGCCGTTTTTCTGGTTAGAAATCAATATAGTACGTTAATATGTACGTTATATAAATGGATTTAAATGGTGGATTTAAGATGATTCAACCAAAAATAGCTATGCAAAAAATGATGGTTGAAAACGGCAAAAATGGAGGAAGAATAAAGGACCTAAGCAACAAAAGAAGAGATTTGATTTAACCAACAAAGTGCAGAGTTTAACAATTGAACACCTGAAAACCATCATTGCAAAGTTCAAATCGTGATTTTTTGTGTGTTCACCACACGAAGAGTTTTAAGGGGATCGATGATCTAACTGTTTGCATATCAGGTTTTGGTTCGATTCTAATGAGATATCATGTGGGGGGTTCATTCAGCAAGAGGTTGTATTTTATCTTTAATTTCATAGATAAGTTGAACCAACAAAAAATGGTTTAAGGCTTGAACTATCCACGGCTAAACGGTGATTTCACTAAACAAATTTAGACATTTACCATGAGTTGGTAAACATAAGTATGGATTAACGATTTGGTTTATGCCAGATTGATAGGAATATAAACCAACTTCTGACTGGAGGCCACTTCCAGCTGCCCCTGACATGTTAACCCCAAAAATAAAGCCTTTGTTAAGGGGAATAAAGGGATCAGGAATCACCATGAATCCTGGTTCTTGTGGTGCAAGCATAAGGAAAACATAAACCTTCCCTGCCCTTTTTTATTTACCTTTGGTTTTTCCAGAAGGTTTTCGCACGATTGGACTGATCGTGCTTGGATCAGTTTCATCTTCACCCGCGTTCCTTGGTGCAAACCCTCTATATTTTCCCACTGGACCTAATCAAACATAAGCTACATATGGTGGAGGAATGGTTTTCAGGTAATCATCCCAATCAGCAACATGGACTGGACTAGTCCTGCCCGGGAAGACATTTAACAAAAAAAAACCTTAAACTTGCAGTGGGATGTAGCAGTATGAGCTCACCAGGGTTTACCCAAAAAAACTTCACCAACTCTGTGTTTACCCAATGCTTCACCAGTTTCAAACCACTCTCCCAACCCGAGGCCCAGCAACCAGGCTTCGGTTCATCACGGCAGCAGTACTTCCCAGGGACACCACCTCCAGCGCCAAACTGGGGACTGCTGGGATGAAAATTGCAACAACATAGTGCCATAGTGCCATCAAAATATCGCCCAAAGCGGGGATGTTTAAAAAATCAAGCATTAGTGAGATATCGCCAATTAATTCTAGGTTACGCTAGGTTGCTAATTTTTGACGCGGCAGTCAAGCAGAAGACGGAGGAAGGATGAGGAAGGAAAAGCGCCACAGCAAAGCAAACAAACCGAAAAGGAAACAAAACAACGCAACAGAAGCTGCACGAACAATCGGAAGACTCAAAAGCGGAAGGTTGTGGGTTGCTTTCCACAGCTGGCTTGGAATTGAAGGGCCAGCGCGAAATTTGCATCACAATGTATCACAGGCTCACCCCCTCTCGGCCCCAAAAATCAGCTGGGGTGTCACCACCAAATCCTAAAAACCATTTTCCGGTACCAAATCAAATTGGATTTCGGAAGCCTCCGAGCTAATTCCACCTGACAGAATTGATGATAGCAAACCCCTCTGTGTGGCTGATGGTTATGTTGAGCCCCAGTTTGCATGGACGAGTGCAGTCTGGACTGCCTGGTGGCTTATCATCCACTTCAGAGCAATATATTGCTTTGCCCTCCCTCGCAGCAAAAGCAATGTTCTGCGCCCGGAAAACGGTTGTCATCGAACATCCCTGGTCAAATTTGCATCAATTCCATGTCGGCGGCTTCGATGCAGTCAACGAACTTTGATTGAATATTGCTGGATGTACCCCTACTAAGTTTTATGAGTTATATGCCATTGTGTCCCCATTCCCCCATCAACCATGATTAACCATTATCAATATCAGTATGATGGGGTCTGGTTGATCCATTGCAGTGTTCAAAACCCTGTCTCGTCCCAGTAAAATTCGTTAGTTCATAGGAAAATCCAATTCATGGATTCTTATATTTTCCATTTCATTGCTCAGTATGATATGTATAATCCAAGAACTAATCAATCAACCATCATTTACTAGTTATATCTACCAAAACCATCAAAACCCTCATATTGTGATGCTTGAAATCCATCTAATCTTGGTTTAATGATCAATTGTATCCGCATATGTTTGATTGCTAAACCTCCATAAATATAAAGTAAGACCCTACAGCTGTTGGTGATCACAACCGCTAGAGGTGGTGGTACCTCCCCAGTTCAAAGTTATAAACCATAAGAAGTAGTTCGATATATCTACCATATAATATGGATCTAGCAGCACTAGGGATACATATTCATCCCCCCCTTCCACTCCCCCCCTTAAGCATCCTATAAATATTCTACCATAAACCGTAGTGAAATTGGCGTTATGTTAACAAACTTAATTAGCAAACTGGGGCATCACCTTGTAGTCTACAATGTGAGGCCCCCCAGTTATAAGTTGGTTTATAAGCCCCAGTAACTATAGTTATAAATACCATAAACCATAGTTATTGTAGTTATAAACCAACTTAGATATCTTGGGGGCCTCACATTGTAGAAAAAACTCCAAACTGCAGGGCCAAAAACTGCCGCGGCACATCGGTGCCCAGCACACCGAAGATCACGCCGCTGCCAAACTCCAGTGCCAAGCTCTCAGGCTCCCCGTCCTGGTGACTTCGTGCCAAAGATGGGGGATTTCACCCAAAAATGATGAAAACCAGAGATTTTCACCTCGAAAACTGGGAAAGTTGATTAAAATTGGGAGCTCACCTGGGAAGAATTGGGGATTCAAATATGAGCCAACAGAAATAGGTGATTTGTAACCGATAACTGCAGGATGTAATCAATAGGACGGGAGGTGGAGTTGTTTTCTGATAGCTAGGTTGAGTTCTTCAAGAAAACTTTGGGATTTATAAGGATTTATAGTTGAATTTTTGTTTGGCAAGCAAACTGATGCGTCCAAAAAACTCCACAGAACCTACTGTAACTAAACAACATGACATTTGAGCCATCTTATGTTTTTTCTTGGGTTATAATTCCAACACCTCTTGGATTTCTCCCAAGAATAAATCATCCGAGCTATTGTTCATCGGGTTTTACCACTGGCTACCCCACTTTCCAGCACACAAGATATGACTAAACATATCTGACTATATAAGCCTATCAGTCTATCTTGTTTATTTCCAGCAACTAAAGTTCTATTTTGAGTTTTGCAGGAAGTCTATTTAAAAAACTTTGTAGTCCATCTGAGTAAGCAAGGTCAGTCACTTCGAAACCATGTTGTGCGTGTGTCCAAAACTCCGGGCAAACTGTTCAAATTGCATGATGGATCTTGGATTTGCCCAGGGGCCCCAGGAATAATAAACACGATGAGTAGGTCGTGCATCAAAAATAAAGAAGAGGACCCCTCTTACTGGAAATTAATCAATGAATACGAAGACACATCATTTTCAAGCAGTAAAAATCTGAAATCGCATTCGCATGATTCGTTATTTACAAACAAACCCACCTGGACAAAAAACATGTTGGAGGAAAAGGGCCATGCCAATCTGATATGGCAATGGCAATGTAATTGATATCTGATTTGGACGGGCCATGATGTATAACAGCCACAGTGGCTTAGAATGTCACAGAAATCCAAAGCGTCCCCCTCAAAAAACATCCTCCCCAATTCTAAAGCTAGTGATACAGGATACTGGGAATCCACTAACATCTAACATCATCTGTACATCTATCCACATTCATCACCCACATCTATCAACATCGATCTGTGTTTACCCACATCTATCAAAATTGATCAACAGTGATCAACGGTGACCAACGGTTACCCACATCTTATCAACAGCTACCAACAGTTATCCGCATTTATTAACATCTATCAATAGTGATCCACAAACCATACACATGTATCAACACTAATCATATATACAAAGACAATGTAAGATCGATTCATAGATATTTTACCGTGAGCCTAAGAGAAAACATGAAAGTACAACCCAATTAGATAAACTAAAATTGAAGCACTTGTTTCCAAGTATATAACATATTTACCTGATACTCTAAGGTCTCCAACTTGTTTTTTTTGTGGGATTACTAATAATCAAATTTACTATATATAATGGTTGGATTGCAGGTAAAAACATTATTGTAATTACCCAATTGATATTACTTGTGGTTGATAGGATTATCCCATTATTGGTAGTGTTAACCCAATGTTAACTATATATATATATGTATGTATATATATGTATACCATTATATATCAACAACGGGTTAATATCCCATTCACATCAATCATGGGTTAATCCTATCCTGGTTGGTGGTTTCAACCCCTCTGAAAAATATGACTTCGTCAGTTGGGATGATGACATTCCCAACATGATGGGGAAGTCATAAAAAAAAAAGATTCCAAACCACCAGCCAGTATCAATAATGGATCAACTATATTTATATATCTCTGGTAAACTAACATAGCTATTGAAAATGGTCATTTATAGTGAGTTTTCTCATTAAACATGGTGATTTTCCATAGTTATGTTAGTTTTCCAGAGGGTACTAACCAGGGTTAGTAAGATCACTTGATCTATCCATCTATATAACCCACTGGGACATATTAACCCATTGATATCCCACATCAACCACAAGCCATGAACACCATCCTCGCCCAGTGGAATGTGAAAGGTGGAGGAACGGTTGGCGCCTGTGAAGCCTCGGTAGTACGTAGTACTCGGCGGAGCTCAGATTGTGGGGACTGTATATTTGAATTATCTATACAGATAAATATACATATATGTTGATATACATATAACATATATATATATGTACAAAAATATGTGTGTATATATATATATATGTGTGTGTATCCTCCAACATCTGAGCATTACAGGGGATACAGCGTTTTATGAGCTTAGATAATAACTCTCATTCAATGGATCTCAGATTGTGAGGGAGCTCATATTGTGGGATTTGCTTAAGGGTGTCCCACAAAATAATTAAAAAACGTAACGCTAATGCGAGTAGATTCCCAACATGAAATATGAGTCATGGTTTATAGCCTGTAATGCTATGTTTTCAGGTTTTAACCATCAAACATGGAAAAAATTGTGTCTAAATATATCTAAATATAATATTCGTATATATATATATATATGTATATATATATGTATATATATATGTATATATATATATATGTATATATATATATATATTCAGTCAGTCCCCCAAGGGTGACTTCCACAATAATGGATCTTCAATCAACCGTTGCCTAGTTCATAGGCCCTTGAACAAAACCCTTTGTATCGTGGGATGACCATCGCAAAAATTGTACAATGTGATGAATGCAATGCCCCCTCCTTTTCTGAGTTGGTAGAAATGGTAGACATATCATGGATTATCATGGTCTATCTATCTGTATTCAATGTACATATATATATATATATGCTTGGACTTGGATACTTAAAAATATATAAAGATAATCATCTACTTTATTCCCCCAATACTAAACATACTAAACCAGGTTTCTGGTAGCATTTTATGTTACAGGGAAGGGATGAATATAACTGGGGGGCACCACCTTACTTCTTAAACCAAGCAACAGGGCGTCGAATACCTCAGGGCAAAAGTGGGCAAGCGACATACCTCCATGGCTGACCTTCCTGATTTGTTGCTTCAAGAGGATGTGTCTGAAAATACGCTATACCCCCAAATTGTTATTTTGATGGGGAGTGGTAGGGACAATGATTACAAACAAATTGGTTTTGGGGTACCCTATTTTCAGGCAAACCCAAGTTGTGGAAAGCATCGCTGAAATCCTTCGTGGAGAGGAACGCAAAGGCGCTGGTGGCTAGAAAAATCTGGGCTAAACAATAGCCAACGAAAAACCCAGCCATGATCAACTGTCAGAAAAGCAATGCCATAAACCATCCAATAAAATGGTTTATAGAGCACATAAGAATGGCAAGTCATTATAATCAAGCTCAGGTTGACCTCCAAGATTTCATCCCTGACCTCCACAATTTCCAAGGCACCCAAAGCAGTTGGTCTGCTGACACGCGCAGTGCGTCACGATGACATTGCTGCTGCCCGTATCGGCCACCAGATCAAAGCTCTGCCGCGGGGTTCCGATGCCGATCTCCACGGCAGAGTAGGAACCGTGGTTCTTCAGAGGTGCCTTGGTGGCAGGTCCAGGTGGAATCTGTGGAAGTTGAATGAAATGCCTTAAGGTGTCCCTTAAGGTGAAATAACCCATGACGGATCCATCAATGTATGCTATATATGGTGACATGGATCCCATCAACAAAAACCCCAGTCATGTTAGCATTTTTCTACCAGCACCATGGATCCGTCATGGGCAACATCATGACATCACTCCACTTTTTTTCCGGGCTTCGTTAAAGCTTCGTTTGGTGATACTTTCGATGAACGTGCCAGCTGGTGCCACCCCCTCTGGGACTCATGGGGCGGTACGATGTACGTACCTCTGGGATTTACAGATTGAAATGACGGTATAGCCATCCGGAGCATCCCAGTTTGAAGGAAGGACCTAGATATCCGGGACATCAAATATCACAAACTCTACATAAAACATCCATCTCCCTTCAATCTCTGCCTTCAAAATCCATCACTGGTTGGTGGTGCAATAACCATCTTGAAATATGAGTTCGTCAATGGGAAGGATGACATCCCATATATTATGGAAAATAAAGCATGTTTGAAACCACCAACCAGATCAAAATCCCCTGAACACATCTCCGAGCTTCGCAAGTTTCGCCCTCTCTGGAGGTCTTAAGACTCCAGCACAGCGCCACCGTCGCAGCCAGGACTCGGAACATGGCGAAGCGACGGAGCCGGCAACTCGCTACATTTTGGAACGGAGATACTGCAGAGACCGAGGGCACCTTCCAGCAGATAGATCATTGAGGATGACCCCATTACCAATGGAAAAAGATGGAAAAAGGACACCTAGAAAAATGAAACTTTCCTCACAATAGGGGTACCCCAAATCATTCTTGTCTTTGGAGCATTTTTGTATTGAAAAAACCATGACTTGGGGAATTCCCCATTTTGTATTGATTCTGTCAGCTCCTGAAACTCCTCCGGCCATCTCTGAGTTTCCGCACGGGCAAATTTTGGAAGATCAAAGTGCCTTCCAGCTCTCCGATCGTCTGGGGCCAGGGTCAGAAGTGTCAGACGTGATGACTTAGCCTCGTTGCCCTGCAACAAATATTTGCCGAAGGAATCCAACAGAATTTGCCTACCGATCAAGTCACGGTCTATCCAAATTATGAGGCCTGCTATGGCACAAGACCTCCATTTTGCGAAACTGATGGGCCATTGAATGAGAGTCATTCACACACTATGACATACTATGACGCTGGTTTTCATAGGGTATACAACGATATACAAGTAGGTGGGTGTTATCCCAAACACACTTGGCAGTATGCAACTTGTGGAGCCTTGGTGAACAGAATGGATGTGCCCAGTGAGAAACTGGTTACACGCCCAGCTAGATATACCCGCCGTCCTACAATCTACAGTTATTGGAAGTTGTTCTATGCTTTTGTTGGCATTCCAATGTTTTTCCCAAATGTTTTTTCCCCATTGATTTCCCTTTAAAACACTTAGATTTATAGATGATTTTCCCGTGAAAACCTCCATTGATAGTTGATTCTTCCCATGTTTTTCCCCCATCTTTTTCCACGTTTTTCTAACCGCAGTTCCCCAGGTCCTTACCTCTGAGCTCGGGAGGCTCGGGAGGCTCACAACCAAAGGCACCTGGAAGTTAGGCTGAAACTCCAGCTGTGATGTTTTCGATTTTTTCGTATTTTTGACCATCCGAAAAAATCGTTCCTAAATCATCATACTGGTACCCTCTGGTAATTTAACATAGCTATTGAAAATTATGATTTATAGTGGAATTTCCCATTGAAAATGGTGATTTTCCACAGTTATGCAAATGTTTACCAGAGTGTAAATCAATGATACATGCCACAGTTCTGCCACAGTTATGCCACATAACTCATGGCTATGGCTATTTAATATAGTTATAACTGGTTCTTTCTATGGGATGAGATACATTCTAAATGCTTTTTTTGTTCGTACAAACATAACTGGGACAAACCAAATCCCGTGGTGACCATCCAATGAACTCGGTGACATATTTGGACCATCCAATCTTACAAGATGGCATAATCAGATATGCTCGCTTCATTTGATGTTTAAAAACAAGTCTGGCAAAAATGCAGATCATATCCAAACCTGGTTGGTGGTTTCAATCCCTCTGAAAAAATAAAGTCAGTTGGGATGATGAAATTCACAATATATGGAAAAATAAAAGCCATGTTCCAAACCACCAACCAGTATGGCAAAAATGCAGGTCGTATCCGAATTCCAATATCCAATTGTTTCCAATTGATCAATGGCCATTTCAGGATCCTAAATTGGAGGTAACTACCATATATAAGGCCTATGTAAGGCCTATGTACGGGAATATCCCCACAAATTATGGCCAAAAATATGGTACTAACGTACCTCCATTTTAGGATCCTGGAATTCGCATTGAATTGATGTTCCATCCTTTTTTTCCTGGGGACATCCCCCCAAAGGCCCAAAAAAAATCCACCACAGCACCGCATGTTTTGTTTCTCATCACCTTCTGTGCGATAAAATAGCTTGCTGTAATGGCATTCGAATATCAAATCTTTGAAATATATATATATATATATATACCCCCCAACCATTCGAAATTTGAACATCAGTTTAATATGATCCAGTATGTACGAAAATTATTATGACACATATATACATATATTAAATATAGCAAATTAGCCTCCTGTAAACTAACGCCGATGTAGAAAACCCAGGAATTATACAAAATTGTCCTGGGCTGACCATTAGTTTTCCACATCTTTTTGTATGTTTAACCGAGGGAACATCCCATATCTGCAGTTACTTTGAAATCGAAAAAATATCAACATCCCATATATTGAATGGTTAGTGTAGCCCAGGCAAATAGAACTAAAAAAAACCGTTCCAAGTCCCTCAGCCTTGAAGTTGACCTCCTTGGCGGCTTTCCTCAGCTCCAGCGTCGCTGAGGCGTCCAAGTCGTGACTCTGGAGTTGAAAGGTCACAAGCGAAGAGGCCTGGCTGTTGGGGATGACAAAGTCATCTGTTCTTGGAATGAACACCATGAAGAGGATCATGTAACTAAGGTAAGCCCCAAAACATGATATCTAATAGATATTGATGTGTTGTTTTATAATGCACAAAATATTTCACCAGCTTTAAATATAGCATAATATAGCTATATACTGTATTTGTTGCGATACACTTTCATGAAATTTGATGTACTATAACCATCTATAACCATACCACGCTGTTGAACGTGGAGAACCTAAGACGAAAAAAACATCCAATTCACCAGCCAGGAACCAAGACTGGTCATTTACCGTTCATCATCCCAAAAGGGGGATCGTTCATCTATTGGGGTTATCATTGGTTCATCGGTCCGCATTTGTTCAAAACAAATGTATCCCCAATGATAACATTAGATATGTTGAATGTATCCAATATACCATTATAGATATGTTGTATCATGATTATTGTTTAAATGTATCTATATAATAATGATACTACATATCTATAGTGGATTATAATATATCATAATTGCATTATCCCCATTATATAATTGTCATTGCATGAACTATAGATACTTGACAACAAATAATGATATCTATAAGGGGGATTGAGTGAAATACAATGCAGCTATCAATGAATACAGTGTAAAACAATGATAACTCAATTAAATAATATAAGATCAGAATGGAATGGGAAAACTGGTAGTTAATCATTGTATTGCATCATTACATTTAGTCTAATATTCCCCCCCATTTTAGCCCTGCCTGCAATAGATCCGCCAAGCAGGTCTGGAAACTGATCACCTTCGCATTGGTCATGGGGAGAGATTTGGTGACCAACAAACATGGATCTTTTTCACCACTTAGAAAGCTGGACTGCTGGATTCCGGATGCTTTTTGGGTTGATTGATTTCATCAAGTTAATCTTAACTACTCGAATCGGGAGCCAGGGAAAATTCAAATAGTCGGACGTGCTTGGTGCAAGATTTAAAACTGGTGAAATATGGTGAAATCGTGGTCATAAACCCATGAGTTTCCAATTGATTTGCAGTAGCCAGGTGATATATGGTGATATCCCATTCTTGGTCTCAGCCAAGACGCGAAGGGCCCAGTCCAAGAAGCAACGTCACCGGGACCAGCACCTGGGAAGCGGCCAAGGCGAAGACACTCAAGTTCTCATTCATGCGTAGGCTCACCACAAGAAAATGGCCCGTTCCTTCTATGTCAGAGATGGATTAGCCTCCACAGAATTTGTACCTCTGACTGAAGATTGCCACCAACCAGGTTTTAGTGGAAGATTGCCATTCGGTGATGTTCAGCATTGCTACAAGGGCTTCCTGAGGTTATGCTTCTTCCATAAATCCAATCCCCAAGCAGATACCAATCTCTGGGACCAGTTGAGCCCCCACACAGTTGGATACTTGGATCTGTTGCTCGCACAGGTTGCAGCCAATGAGCAAACTGCACAGATGGGCCATGTTTTTTCTCCTGACCCTGGGAAGTCAACCAATAGAAATAGCCCAACAGTTTCACCTTTTTTGGGGTACCCTCTGGTAATTTAACATAGCTATGGAAAATCACAATTTTTAATGGGTAAATCCACTATAAATGGCCATTTTCAATAGCTATGTTAGTTTACCAGAGGGTATCTAACAACTTCTCAACCAAATCTGGGTGTGGTTCAAGGCTGATCCCCCAAAATTTTCTGTGGTAAATCCAGGACAAAGTCTGGAATCGGAGAAAACCGACCAGGGTCATCTACAGAATCATCCGATATGCCAAATAATGAACCTACATGGTGTAGTGTTTTTTGGGCTTACCTCTATTAGAATCCCATGCGTTCACCATTTTCCTGGGTCAATCGTCTATTCTCCATGACTCCAGTTTATGGTGGTTATCCCAAGATTCTTCCATCATTCCCCCATTATAATCCGCAATTTTAAGCAAAAGCATGCAATTCCTGCTTCTTTGCACGTGCATCCCACTAAGAGGATAGCAACTTTACGAGTGAACTACCAGTGGTCCGCTTCAATCCGTGTGTTTGGTGATTACCCCCTGGTAAAGTAACACAACTATGGAAAACCATCATTTTTTTTATGGGAAAATCAACTATAAATGGCAATTTTCAATAGCAAACTCTTAGATTATGTTAGTTTATTAGAGGGTATATATATAGTTGATCCATTATTGATACTGGCTGGTGGTTTGGAATATATTTATTTGTTTATGACTTTCCCATCATATTGGGAATTTCATAGGCTAAAAAAAGCCCTCCCGGAGCGACTAAAAACAGGACGTTCAGTTCAGTTCCCTGGGATGGCGTGGCCGGTGGCCTTGATGGAACTGGAAGGTCGGGAGTGACACGCAGGTTCTGACGGAGGATGAAGAAATGGTAGGGATATAGCAGGGATATCTGCAGAGTAAAATGCCCATAAAATACCATCTTGGAGAATCCCAATCCTATCTGAGTTGCCTACTGAAAAACAGGAGATTTACCAACAAATTGGGGGTATAATGGCAAATATATGATATGTTTTGTGGGATTCTGCTCTTCGGCATCTTCTTTGGGGTTCCTATGCTGCATAATTTTTCTGTAAACGAACACATAGATGAAATAAGGTTTTGCCATGTTTTTCACACAATGAAAATTTCGGTCATATATACCATGTAAAATAGGAACCGAAGCAGCAAGAATGGTGGATTAATGAATGGGTTTGACTAAAAGTGGTGTATTCCCCAAACTGGTTGTTGATTTTGGGGAAACTTATCCATTGCAATTGGCCTTGCCCCATTTTCAGACAAACCCAAAACGGATCCAAACGGAGTTTACAGCAGTTTCCACGGCGCATTTCTCAATGTGTTCTTTCAAAGACATGGATTTGACAATTAACTAAGGGATACCAATGGGAATTGAGCAAGACAAATTTAAATTTGACAAAAAATTGACAAATAGCCAACATAACACTTGGAGATTGAACCAATAATAAATTCACGAGCAACAGTTAATGCAACTAACAATAATAATATGTGTATTACCCTCCAGTAAACTACATTAGCTATGTAAAATGGCCCATCTACACATCATTTACCTGTTGAAAATGGTGATTTTCCAGTTCCCTATGTTCTTTTATCAGATTGTAAATCAATACACATTGGGAGAACAGCGAAATTTCTGGATCATCAGCCGGATCGGCAACTTGGGAGTTGATCAGCAGTTGCCGTCTTCGTCGTCTTGGGATTTGAACTCCTTAAGCGAATTGGATTTAATAACAACAAAATCCCAAATTCAACAATCCCCACATGTGTTACCTGTGTTTAACATATTTTTTGTGTGATTTAAGGGGCTGTATTCCCCACATTCATAACATAGTTATAAGTTATATCCCATTGATCCAGCGGCCTGGAAGACCATGGCGAAATCGGAGGAGATCATCGTCATGTCCTGACCATGGCATGGCTTTTGGGGATCATTTTGACTGAATGTGGCTTAATATTGGCTAATGATGTTTAAGGGACTATATGGTAATGGATGATATCATCGTTAATCATGGTTAATCATGGGATATCCCTTAATTAGATTTAATTAGTTCATGAATGGTATTCATCCTTAATCACCATTAATCACCCTTAAGCATCATCATCATCATATATGGTTAACCATTATTAATCACCATTATTTTTCCTAATGTGGCTTAATATTGGTTGATGATGCTTAATGGTGATTCATGGATGATCAACGGTGATTAATGTGGCTAAAACAATGCCATTTTTACCACCCATGACTGAGAATAGTAAACATACCACCTATAAAAAATGTGATGACTGGGGGATGGTTTATGATGCTTTTACCCAACAATACCAACTATCAAGCTGTTCTATGTTTTTTAAAGCGAATTCTGGAAATCACACCACTGTGGATGAAAGTCGAAATTACTTGAACGGTTTAAGGGAGAAATTAAATCGGAAAGCATTAACCCCGAGTATAGGGATATCCTGTAAAATGTCCCACCATCGAATTCTGGGTTGAAACATATTGAAACGACCCAGACTTCCCCAAAACTTTCCACGTTGATAGGGCACAAAAAGACACTCTTGCCCAGAAGGAACCATCGATCATCTTTACATGGCTGGCTGGAAAGTGGCCCAGATATATTCGATGATGTTCCCAGCAAAAAAAAAAAAACATATAGGATTTCCCAGCTAGCCACGTCTGCTTGCCAAAGGCTAAGGCCTTTTGCGTGGCTTTTACATGATTCAACATCAAAAACCAATTCTCTCGGAAAAGGTATTCGCCATGCCGCGTATGCCATGCTTGCGTACCCAACGTGACCAACATCAAACACCAATTCTCTCGGAAAAAAAGGTCGGGTGGTTTCAACCTCTCTATGTACCACTATATAGCCTCCGATAGTCAAACATGGCTAGTTGGACAATCCCCATTTTCCCATTTCAACCTCCATTTCTGGAGGATTTTCCAGCTAGCCATGTTTGATGACATTGATGACACCGTAGGGTAAATGACATTGGCCAGCTGAAATCCTTATCCCGAGCTGGGATTAACACTATTTGAAACCACCAATCATTTTCATATGCGATGTATCTGCTTGTATCCCCATTCTCAGTAATCATGTTGAATCTCTATTATTGGTGGGCAAACTCCCCAAAGTGATGCGCCCCTAGTGATAAGTTGATTTATTCATCTGGCTGCAGTTTATAGTCACCATTAGTCACCAGCTTAAGTAAGGCTTGGTCACCCCAGAAATCCCAAGTGGGTTACAACAACAAAAAAACACTTAGAAGTAGCTAGGGCAAGGAGATTGTGATGAGCCACCGCAGTTATGCTAGGTTAACTATCATAAATCAACGATCACTCACCATTTTTGTTGCTTCGATATGGTTCAATCATTGCAATCCTCCCATTGTTTCTTGGGTTGAGTATGGTTGAGCCATCATGTAGCCAAGTTAGCTAGCCTCCTCGAACACCACCCTTCAAAGCACCGAGGAGCACAGGTGAAACGAAGCAGCCCGGCAGCCTGAGGCGTCTGTTGATAAATTAAGGGAATGAGCAATGATTGATGATGTACTTCTGATAAATTTGATTCAATGATGTAATTAGCAAGTATCACATCTTTGTCATGATGTTTTCTGGTATTTGATGATGCAACAATTGTGATGTATTCTGATGTCATGACATATGTTGTTCGATTGTATTTGATTTCGGAATCCAATGGAATACCCGCTTTTGCGTATTCAATGATCTATCTTGATACATGATGCATCAACATGAAAGCGACGTTGAGCCGTGTTTTTTTGTATCGAACACATCAACCTCGCATGGTGAGTAGCTCCAAGTGGTGTCCAAAATGAGAACAAATCCCTGAGCCAAAAAGGCTCCACAGAGTTCCAAGATGTTCCAACCCCGGGGCCCCGGAGCCCTGGACCTCGCCCGCGGCAACTGCTGTGTCTCGGAGCGTCAATTGAAAGTGGCTCGGACCACAGGCAATGCTGTGCAAATCGATGGATGCCTCAGGACTTTGGGCCACAGAAAAACGGCAGATAAAGCGCCCCATCAACGGGATTATGAACTGGCTTATAACCTGGTAAAGGGCCATAACATGCAATAACCGTGTGATGTTAGGATTGAAAGAGGTGGATGGTACTTGTTTTTCTTATTTCGAAGCTCAACATCCCAAAAAACTTTGCTGCCGAAATTCTGTTCACAGCTTGCGGCCTTTGGGAGATGATGCAAGCTGAGCACCATTCCAGTGACGTCAAGATGGTCAGTTTTTTCATCCAGAAGGCATTGAAAAGGTGGATTCCATTGGATTTAAAATAGCACATGAATACATATCTGGGTTGGTGGTTTCAACTGGTTAATATACTGTTAATATATGTATTGTTATTAAATGGTTAATGATTAATGATGGTTAATAATATTTTTTTGGTGGTATACTTACCCCTCTGAAAAATGGTGGAGTTCGTCAGTTGGGATGATGACATTTTTTTTTCCAGCGCACATCAGCGCGGGTGACTCGGCTCAGCAGGTGTGAGCCACGCAGCTACGGCGAGGCGTGAAACGAAAGCGGGAGGCGGCTTGCACCATCCATCGGAACCTCGTCAAGGAGGCGGGCCATGCCTGGTGCGCTTGCGTGGGGGAGCGGTGGGGAGATCCACTCAACCCCGAGTGCTGTGGCGCACACAGCCTTTTGGAGGGCAATACTGAGAAAGCCCCACCACCGCCGCTGCCAACCCTGTGCCGCTGCCTGCCGGAGTGGCGGCGGCGCGCGTGGGCTGCGGACAGCGACCAGCAGGCGCACAAGTTGCAGGCATTCCGAATGCCACCGCCCGCCGACCTCCGCGCCAAGTACCAAAAGGCGCTGGGGGCCCCCGCCAAGCAGCTCTGGATAGCGGCGGTGTTTGCGCGCTCGGGCGGCAAGCAGGGCTGCCCCATCGTGAGTTGCAGCTTGGCGGGCTGGCCACTTCGGGTGAGCGGGGAAACTAGCATAACGTCGCACGCCAACGCTTCCCCACGCGGGGTTGCGCCATGGATCAGAAGGTCAAGCCGCCGACGGCCGTCCACTGCGGTCGCCAAGTTGGTGTGAGCGAGCCAAGGCTGTGGGACCACCCGGCCCTCAGAGCCGACTGCCTCACGGGCAACACGGATCCATGCGTGTTCTAGCACGTGGGCCCGGCGTGCGAGGAGACCGCTGCGTGGGCATGCCAGCGCGTGATCGCCCAGTGGATCCAGCGCGCCGCCGCACCCATGGCGGCCGGCACCCTGCCCGCAACGCTGGGCCGCGGGCGGCAAAGGCAGGCGTAAACGGCGCCGGAGGGCAATGTGCATGAGGTTGGGCGTTAAGGTAGCGCCTTCCTCGCTTGGGATGGCGGTGAGCCACGCGCCGGCGTGAGGCCCAGCTTGGGGTCTGAGCAGCGCTTGGCCAGCGGGCGGGAGGCGGGGCAAAACTTCGCGCGCTCGGAAAGAAGTGTGCACAACGAGCGACGCGAGGTGTTGCCAGCCATGCGCGGGGATGCCAGGCTCTCGTTCCCGAAGGTTAGGAACTTCCGACGCATTGGCCGCGAGGACAGCCCAACCCGGGCGCGACTGCCAGCCAAACCGGTCGAGGTCGGATGCTGAAGCGGCCGCTTCACGGAGGCATGCCGCAGCCGATTCCGGGCCGAGGGTAAGTTCGGCGGCGCAGCGAGCAGCAAGGATCGGCTGTCGCAGGGCCAGCACAGGGAGGGCATCGGCCCATGCCGCCCAATACGCAGCTGGAGCGATCCGTTCAGCCGCGAACAGGCCGAGGCCGCCTAGTCGGATGGGGAGGAAGCCTACGTCGTGAGCGGTGGCCGGGAGGGGGTCGGGCTCACCGAGCAGAAAAGACAAGCAGCTCCACACGGCACTATCGTGCTGGCGCGCATACTCTCCAGATTGAGAGGGCGGCAATGTGCGGAGAAGGTGGCCAGCGCGCGGCGCCGCCGTGTAGAGAAGAAGGAGCCACGCAGCCTGTAAGTCCGGGAGCTGCTGGATCTCGGCTAGGAGGCCGGTTTCTTGTTCAAGTCGGCCGTGCGCATGGGCGGCAACGAAATCCGCGCTACCTATTGGCGCGCCTAAGGCGACCAGGCCACACTCTGGGCTGTCACCACCGCGCCACACATCAGGGCCGAGCGTTTCAACGCCAGGCGGCGCTGGGCCTCCAGCGCGGGTGAAGACACGAGTTTTGCCTGAGTTGGCGGCGACCCCGGCATGGCCTTCGATGGCCCGGCTGACGATGTCAAATGCCGGCCGTGCCCGGTCAGGCTGGCAGATGATGTAAACGTCATCGAGATAGGCGGCCAAGACTTCGTCAGGCAGGAGCTGGGCAGCAGCAACTTCGAGGGCATGGTGCTGTCCAAGCGCGTACAGCGCGGGGGCTAAGGGGTCGCCCTGCTCAACCCCCTCGCCCTGAGTGATGACATGGTGCGCGCCTTGATCGTCCCACCAATGGAAGATGGAAGGTGTGCCATAAATGGCCCGGACAAATGGGACCAAGGCCGGCGCCGTGGTGTGAAGGGCGGTGAAGATGGCGCTGCGCGACACGCAATCATACGCCGAGCGGCCATCGAGGGAGACGACCGCTGTCCGGGGGTCAAGATCAACTGCAGCACGGAGCAACCCAGCCAAAGCATCGATCCCCGCGCGTGTTTGGAGCGCGAATTGGTAGGGGCGCGTGGCAACATCAAAGGTTGCTGCAAACTTGCGCGCCAAGATGCGGGATGTCAATCGGCGCAGCGAATCGCCCGTGGCTATCCCGCGGGCCCCGCCACCTGGCTTGGCTAAGGCCGTGAGACGAGACTGGGAAATCGCTGGGAGGACTTCCGGCGGCACGTGGGCATTCGCCAATTGCGTGAGTGCCCCCGTGAAGAGTGTGAGGGTTTCGCCATCGTCGAGGAGCAGTTTGAAATGCTCGGCGGTTGCGCCGCTAAGGCCAGGTGCCGCGCTGCGCTTTGCTGTGCGCAACGCGTCGACCACTTCCTGCTCAGAGAGGTGCAGCGCCGCGTCCGGGCAGTAATTACTGATGTGGTCAGGGATGGGACGAAGCAAGGCTGGAGGACGCCGGGCGGGATCTACTAAGGACTCCAGAGTGGCCGCTGTGCCGGGCGCGAGCGGAGAGGCCGTGAGGGTGGCCCGTGCCCGGGAAAGATCCCCTTGAGCAACCTGGCGGCAAGCACGCGCTCGGCGCAGTGTAGCTTCTTCCTCAGCGGTGCGCGCGGCGTGAGCACGTGGGCCAGGGCTTGGTTGCTGCGCGTGCGCAGACGCAAGCATTGAAGGCCAAGAGCCGGCCAGGAAATCATCGGCCCGCTGCAGCAAGGCTCGCCGACCAACTGTGGCGCCGGCAGGGTGGTAGAACAGCAGGCGCGAGGCGAGCAGGAAGAGGGCCCACCCCCGTCGCCTTTGAAGGGGTGTGGCCGCGTCAGCGGCTAGAAGCTGTAAAGGGAAGAGTAGCGCTCGTCGAGCGGCCGCAGCATAGAACCGAGGAGGACTGCGGATGGTGCGAACTGGGGTGGCTAGCTCGGAAGCAAGGTCCAAGCGATCAAGCCAGTCCCAGGAAGCAGCTGGCACGCGCTGAATAGACGGTGCAGAAGGAGCGGGAGCAAGGGGGCGAGTCGCCGGGGCATCGGAACGCGAGTCCCTGCTGGAGTCTAACACCGCCACCGGCGGGACAGAGGCTCGCGGGGGCAGAGCAAGTACATCGGTCGCCGGCGGCGGAGGCTCGGACTCGGAGGATGAGGCAGGGATGGGGATGGCGCTCTCCGTTGTGACGGCCAGGCCCGTTGCAGGCGCCGCGACCGCGGGCGAGACGCTGCTACGAGGGTGGGCCCGTCGACGGCGCCGGAGTGCACCGTGAGGTGTGTCTGCGGCGTCCTCTGGCCGGAAAGCGTTGGAACGCTCATTGACGGCAGCAGCGAGGCGAAGGCCGCCGTATGTTTGAAGCAGCACTTCCTGCGCGGCGGCGGGTAGGTAACCGGATATGTCCGCCAGAGCTCGGCAGGCCCAGCCCAGATGAAACCGTGCATCAGCTGGAGTGTTGGCCGCGGAGTGTGCTAAGCGCGCAGTAGAGGACGCGCCATCAGGGGAGTGGTCCAGGAGCGCCGAACGCAAGGTGTCAGCCGTGACGGGCGCTGCGGCTGCCAAAGCGTGACTGGTGGAATCCCACCATGGGGCCGCGCGGCTATCACGCCGCCATGCCTCCAGGGCGTCAGCGTGCAGATCCCCGGCCGCTGCATGGAGAAGAGGAACGTAAAGCCAAGAGTTGGCGGGCACAAGCACTGGCGCAGCCGGAGGGCCCCGCGTATGCCACAGGCCACCGGGAGCTGGAGTGGCCGAGGCCCGCGGCATGGCAGGCGTTGGCGCCGGATCGAGCGGCCGGGACGGTATTGGCGCGTCGGCGTCAGAGTCGAGGAATGGGTTGACCGCCAACGCTGCGCAGGCATCCACAAGTTCAGGGTCAGTGCCAGCGGGCCAGGGCGCACGGCAGAGGGAACAGCACGGCATTGCCAGCCGTGCGCGCGTGCGTGCGAGGCACGGAAAGTGATAGGGATGCTGGCATCCCGGCCAAAAAGCGATCCTGCGACGGGTTGAGTCGCTGGAGTGAATTGGGTCCAAGCAAGTTGGGCAAATGGGTGGATCGCTGGGAACCGGGGCTGGCAATGGGCAAGTTGGCGCGTCCGATGGTGGGCCGGGGTGAGCTGCCTCCCCGACGCGGCGGCCGCGGAGAGGCCACCCTGACCATCGGGAGCATGGGAAGCGCCACCGGCAACGGCGCAGCAAGGGGCGGCCAAAGTGCCGTCGCCACCGCCTGGTGGGAAGGAAGCGGAGTACGGTGGACCGTAGTGGTGGGAAGCGGTGCCACGGCTCAGGCGACGGCAACAGGAGCGGCGCCAAGGAAAAGAGGACAGTGGCTCTACGTTGGCGCTTGCGCCACTGCCCCCGGCATGTGTGCAAAGGACTGCGCTGGTAGCATGGGCACGTGGAGCCGCAGGAGCGGCGCCGATGGGAGGGGCGCCAACCTGGGCATGCCCATTGTGCATTGAGTTGCTGGGTCAGCAAGCGGCGCGCGTGGCGGCCGAGGGATGGCAGGGATGCGCCGCGGCCCGGGAGCGAAACGCTCAGGCGCGGCGGGTTGAGAAGGCAAGGCCGGGAGCTCCAACAAGGAGGAGCTCTGCCGACAGAGGCTGCCAGCGACGCCGCGAAGCAGAGGAGACGAAAGGCGCAGGGGCGCCGGAGGAGCACAGAAGCGGCTGCCATGTTCAAAGAGGCGCCGGCTCCTCTTCTGCGGCGCCCGGAAGGGCGCGCGCAGGGACCATGCGTCCAGGGGGAAATGCGGGAGTAAAGGCCCCCCCTTGAGCCAAAATTCCTAACGGAGAAAGAAAATGTATGTTCCAAACCACCAACCGGTATAAATCGTATAAGTTTATGATATGCAACTGACGAACCATTGGAATTTTGGCCAAACAAGCAGGATCTTTGATGGGGAAAAAATAACAACAAGTATGGGACTTGTATCTCTCAAGGATGTGACAACTGAGCAACTGAAACACTTCCCAGTCCCAGAAACCTTGGTGCGTGTATGGGATAAAAAACATAAATTTGGGATCCTACAATAATATGGGTGATTAATATTGAGGCGATGGGATTGAACCACAATAAAGGGGGGTCTAGGACTTGGAAATAATGTGTCAACATGTGCCAACTCATTTGCAATGGATGCAAAACAAAAATATCAACATCATTCAACATCATTCAACATCATTCAACATGTGTCTCAGGAACACGTCAATATCTTCACATCCCGGACAATAAAATCAACCTCCACCACCGGTGTAATGCGCCAAACCACGTGCAGAAACTCGATCCCAGAGAGCCACCAGTTTCGTAGTGGACCTCTTTACTTGGGGTGGAGGGGGTTATGCCACCTGGTGTGGAATCTCCCACAGTCAACAGCCGCATTGTTGCTGTGCCAACTCACCTGATATATCGGCACACCCCACTGTTTGCGCCAGGGTGCTTCCCCTAAACACTGTTGCGACGTCCTCAGGCGCAATCTGGGGGGAATGGTTTCAGAGTTCGAATTTTGCAACTTCCCAGAAGTGGTTCGTGGGGTCACTTTACCATGGGTTTCCTGATGTTTCCGGTAAAACAAAAGCCAACAACTTCGCCAATCTATTGACGACTGGCTTCAGGGAGCAGTTCGCTGAATGGATTAAAGGTACTTCAACCTCGCCACTCAAAATCCCAAACACTACAAATGAGTTCCTTACCAAAAAATCATCGAGATTCCTGGTCATATATCATTCAATCAGAATCTAGTATAGTGACGGACAACCACTTAGAACATCATTTTTTTTCCAAAATTTCGGAACCTGTTCTTAGAACATCAAAACAACTACACTTAGAACATCAAAACTGTTCTAAGTACGCACTTAGAACATCAGAAAAACAGATACTTAGAACATCTCCTTTGATTTTTTGCATACTTAGAACATTAAACACACATATACTTAGAACATGTCCTGTTACTTTGGTAAATCTACATATATACACACAAATACCTTGGTGAACACCATACTTAGAACACTTTCTCCCCTCGCTGCTGCTGCATTCTATACCTTTTCTTTGGGAACAATATACCAAGCAGTCTTCGCTGCAATGGGAAGGTCTCTAGTATATAAGTTGTGGGTTTCCTACAGGGGGTAGTCAAAAAGCATAGGTTTCAATACTAAAATGAGCTAAAATGAATTATGTTTAATTTTGAATGTTTTGGAGATGCCTCATGCAGGGGCGGCAGCCCTTAAATAAATATATCTATATATATATATATATATTATATAGCGTATATATATAATTAGCGACGGACAAATACTTCGAACATACATATATGTATGGTTCCCATTGGTTCCCCACTGGGATGTTCTAAGTGTAGCTTGGAAATGTTCTAAGTATAGGTTTTGGGTATGTTATAACGACTTCATACTTAGAACATCCCCGCTGTGACGGTTTTGATTTTTTTTTTCCAAATGATGTTCTAAGTGTTTGTCCGTCACTATAATGTGAAATCTACCTACATATTTCTCTGGAAAAAGCATGCGCATCACCAGTTTTTTAAACGTACCATGTGTTGCCAATAGTCCGGCAAAATTCTCGACGCATTTTTTCGGCGCTCCTGTTGAAGCACTGGATGCGAAGGGAACGGTGCTTCAACTTCTCCAAGTAGCAACTCGGCGAGGATGTGGAGGATGTGGGAATTACATGGAATTACTTACCGATTATTACCAAGAAAATCAGTGGAATTTCATATTTTCCTGAGATAAATTATGGTGTTTACATGTGTTTACCCATCTAATTACCCAAAGAAACTGACCAAAAGCCAGGTGCAATTCCTTGGGAGCGCCACTGATGGGATCCCATTCCCATACTTCCACACTGCTCCCATCGGACACCCCGAAAGTATCGGGAGATTATGGGAATGGGGGTCCCATCATTGGGGGTCCCTATAAATTGCATGGAATACCATCAGGAAAAGATAGACAGATAGGAAGAAAGAAAGATAGATAGATAGAAAGAAATATGAAAGAGATAGAGATAGAGAGATAGATAGAGAGATAGATAGAGAGATACAGAGATAGATAGAGATAGAAATAGAGATAGATAGAGAGATAGAAAGAGAGATAGATAGAGAGATACAGAGATAGAAAGAGAGCTAGATAGAGAGATAGATAGAGAGATATACAGAGAGATAGATAGAGAGATAGATAGAGAGATAGATAGAGAGATAGATAGAGAGATAGATAGGAATATATATATATATGGAGAGATAGATTAAGAGATAGATAGAGAGATAGATAGAAAGATAGACAGAGAGATAGATAGAGAAATCGATAAAGAGATAGATAGAGTGAGAGAGAGAGAGAGATAGATAGATAGATAGAGAGATAGAGAGATAGAGAGATAGAGAGATAGAGGGATGGAGAGATAGAGAGATAGAGGGATGAGAGCGAGATAGAGGGATAGAGAGATAGAGAGATAGAGAGATAGATAAAGGGATAGATAGAGAGATAGATAGAGAGATAGATACAGAGATAGATACAGAGAGATAGATAGAGAGATAGATAGAGAGATAGATAGAGAGATAGGTAGGCAGATAGATAGGGAGATAGATAGAGAAATCGATAGAGAAATCGATAGAGAGATAGATAGAGAGAGATAGATAGATAGATAGATAGATAGATAGGATAATATAAGATAAAATAAGATAAGATAATACAAGATAAGATAATACAAGATAAGAAAATATAAGATAAGATTAGATTAGATTAGATAGATAGATAAATAGATAGATATATAGATAGACAGATAGATAGATAGATAGATAGATAGATAGATCGATCGATAGATAGGTAGATAGATAGAGAGATAGGTGAAGAGATAGAGATAGAGAGATAAATAGAGAGGTAGATAGAGAGATAGATAGAGAGATAGATAGAGAGATAGAGAGATAGATAGAGAGATACAGAGATAGATAGAGAGCTAGATAGATAGATAGATAGATAGATAGAAAGGTAGATAGGGAGATAGATAGAGAGATAGCTAGGGAGATAGATAGGGAGATAGATAGAGAGATAGATAGATAGACAGAGAGATAGATAGAGAATTGATAGAAACATAGATAGAGAGATAGAGAGAGAGAGATAGAAAGATAGATAGATAGATAGATAGGTAGGTAGATAGATAGATAGATGGATACGATAGATACGATAGATAAGATAGATAAGATATGATAAGATAGATAAGATAGATAAGATAGATAAGATAGATAAGATAGGTAATATATATATAATATAGATAAGATAGATAGGATAGATAAGATAGATCAGATAGATAAGATAGATAAGATATATAAGATAGATAATAAACACAAAAATAGATAATATATATGATAGATAAAATAGATACGATAGATAAGATAGATAAGATAGATAAGATAGATAAGAAAGATAGATAGATAGATAGATAGAAAGATAGATAGATAGATAGATACATAGATAGATAGATAGATAGAAAGATAGATAGATAGATAGAGTGAGAGAGAGATAGATAGAGTAAGATAGATAGATAGATAGATAGATATATAGATAGATAGATAGATAGATAGATAGAGAGATAGAGAGATAGAGAGATAGATAGATAGATAGATCGATAGATCGATCGATAGATAGATCGATAGATAGATAGATAGAGATATTGATAGAAAGATTGATAGAGATAGTGGTAGAGAGATTGACAGATAGATAGATAGATAGATAGACAGATAGATAGATCGATCGATCGATCGATCGATA